TACTTGGAAGGGATACCTCCAAGGAATACCAGGTCCAGGAGGCAGAGGCAAGCAATAGTAAGCCACCTCTCTGAAACATTCAAACCCTACTAGGGGTCGCCAGAAGTCAACCACGAGTTCCAGGCACACATACAAGCATGTGCACAAGCACATACACACACAAACGCAAAATACACATAAAAAGGGAAATGGTATAGGGGGAAAGGCAGTATCCATAGTCCTGGTCCGAATCAGATCACCACATGGAACCTTTAAATGATGTTCCCACTGGGAATTTGCAGGTGCAGTATGGCTGCAGGTCCCTGGGGCAGACTCGTGTACATTGCGATGTGTACTTTGTTGTGAAAGCTTGCTGGGTGATCTTGCGCTAGTCGCTTCCAGGGCCAGAGTGTGGATTCAAACCTGGGTCTCCCACATCCTAGCCCAGCACTCTGGCTTCTGTAGCACACTGTCACCAGCTGGTGTGTGTGGGGGGGTTAGAATAGTTTTTTAAAAACCCAAACCCTTCCCCAGCATCCTGTCTCTGATTCACATTTCCCCTTTCCTCCCATGGCTGTTTTCTGAAGCGAAATTATACAACGCAGAATCCAATCAGGGATCCTCACCTTCACACCTATGTTTTATTAATCAGAGTCAAAACCTGGAGATCCATGTATTATTATTTTAAATTGTATCAACCACTTTATTTACCAGTTTGTCATCCACAGTGGTTTTTCAATTAAAAAATACATTAAAATGATTATAATGCAACAGCTATAAAAAGTGTCATAAAATAGATTACAGCAGCAATAAATCAAACAACAGCAGTAAAACCTCAGCTGTCTTTCAATACAAGGGATGCAGTTGCGCACCACGAGTTTCTTCCATTCTTTTCCATGGCACTTTACAGAATACATCCACTAGTGTAGTGTAGTGTAATGGTTAGGGTGTTGGAGTAGGATTCCCACTCTGCCATGGGAGTCACTTGGGTAACTTTGGGCCAGTCTAGGGTTGCCAGCCTCCAGGTGGGGCCTGGAGACCTCCTGCTTTTACAACTGATCCCCAGCTGACAGAGATCAGCTCCCCTGGAGAAAATGGCTGCTTTGGAGGGTGGACTGCAGGGCATTGTACCATGCTGAGGCCACTCCCCTCCCCAAACCCCGCCCTCTCCTAGATCCACCCCTAAAGTCTCTGGGTATTTTCCAGCCCAGACCTGGCAACCCTACGCCAGTCCCTCTCAGTCTAACCTACGTTACAGGGCTGCTGAGAGGAAGCAGAGTGATGTATGCTGCCTTGAGCTCAAGAAAGGGCGGGATAAAAAGGTACTAAATAAAGGGGCAAAACAAAAGTACTTTTCTAGCAAAGCTTCTAAACCAAGTATAATTCCAGATGGGCAGCTATGGTAATCTGTAGCAAGAAGATAATATAGGAGTCCAGAGCCACCTTAAAAACAAACCAACGTGCCACTGGACTCTGTTTTACTTTTCATATGAGATAAGGAAACAAATGAGGGAAGGAAATGGAAACGGGTTGTATCTCAGTTAGGGTTGTCAACCTCCAGGTGGTAACTGGAGATCTCCTGAGATTACAACTACTCTCCAGATCTCAGAAGAGGCTTGTTCCCCTGCTTTGGAGGGTGGACTCTATGGCATTATACCCTGCTGAGGCCCCTCCCCAGTCTCCACCCTCAAATCTCAAGGAATTCCCAACCCAAAGTTGGCAACCCATCTGAGTTTTAGCAGTTGGCCATCTGGCAGTGTTTGTGAGACTGTGACTTGGTAGAGACTGTCTGCTCTCAGTTCCAGCCAGTTTGCCACAAGAATCTAAAGGCACTCTGGAACAGGGCGAAGGCCCTACAACAGCTGGGCAGGATAGATTAACTCAGTTTTGACCTGCAGATCTTCGCATCAGTTTATATTTTAAGCACAAGAGTGTCCGTTGTCATGTTGTAGTTATAACACAACAGGAAAGACACGAGCAAACACAATTATGCCAGCTACATTTCTGTTCTACGTTTCAGTTCCGTTTCGTGCATGCACACAAAAGCTTATACCCAGAATTAAACTTTGTTGGTCTTAAAGGCGATACTGGACTCAAACTTCATCACATTTCAGTTCTGTTGGTGATAAACTACGGTGGTCAAGAAAAAGGTGGACTTGAACCTGGGGTATGAAGGGGTAGAGAAGTGCTCTGTGAGGGAGTTCTGGGGGAGGGGGTTAAAAGAACCTCTACCTTCAGGCAGCTCAGTGTGGTAGAGTTCATAGAGATGTAAGAAGGGCCCTCCTGGATCAGACCAGGGATTCATTAGCTGAGCATCCTGTTTCCTACAACAGCTGGGTTGGATCCAACCACCTTTTCCACCCAGGCTCAGCCAATTCCCCTCCTTACTAGAGCCCCCATCCCACTTAGAGTTCTATAAAAGTTAAGAGTAACATACTATACGCAGAGGCACCTTGACACCAGTGTTCCCTCTAAGCTGAGTTAGAGTGAGCTAGCTCACAGTTTTTTAGCCTCCAGCTCACAGATTTTTGTCTTGGCTCAGGAAGGATGGCTCCAGAGCAAACTAATTTATGCAGTAGCCAAATTGCTTGTTCACAACTTTAACACCAGTAGCTCACAAAGTAGAATTTTTGCTCACAAGACTCCACAGCTTAGAGGGAGCATTGCTTGACACTTAAGCTTTTGGTTACGAAGTCATGCCCATTAATAAGAAGTGTAAAATCTTGTTGGTAAGTTACCATCTTTATTGGTGTTTATGCTTGGTCAATGATTTATTGTATTGGTATTAATGTTTATTTATGTATTTTTTCTCGTAGAATATAAGGGCTAGTCCCTGTTAAAAACTACAACATAAGAAATATCGCCTTTGTACTTGAACAATAGAAATAATCACACAGCTCTTGGTGGTAAATAATAGTTTTTTGTCCAGTCTTTATTACCATTGTAAAAATATTGTTTATATATTGTATAAAATAAGATATTCATAGTATTTGGTACATTATGTATTAATTTTACAGTTGGAAACCATTTCTGATGAAGTCTACCTTCGAAACGAAGTTGAAGCCGGACTCTTCGTAATATTTTTGATATGTTTGGACTATTTGATATTGTTCACTTTTGTATTTGTACTATTTCTGCTACTGTAATATTTTCACTTTAATGATTATATAGACTTTTGCTCTTGATAGCGACTTCCCCAGTCTGTTTTTGTTGTTCCAGTTTATACTGGGAGGTCTTTCTGGTTGATTGGTTTTTCTTTCTTTTCCACCAGCAAAAAAGCTGCTGCAATCCAACCCACTGTCACAAAGCCTACAAGCAGGGCAAGAATGCAGCAGCTGTCCCCTCATACTTTGACCCATCCACTGAAATCCAGCGGTATACTGCCTCTGACCATGGAGGTTCTGTTTAGCCATGACTAAGAGCCATTGATAGAGCTCTTCTCCATAAACGTGTTCTCACTTAAAAACATCTAAGCCAGCACCACATTTTGTGGTAGAGAATCCCATGAAATGATTTATGCATTTGTGAGGTACTCACCCATTTCACTGGGTGATCTTAAGTTCTGGTCAAAAGGAAGAGGAAGACATTGTTTTCTCCATCCACCTTCTCCTTAGTGCACATCTTTACATAAACCTCTACCCTGTCCTACTTTCCCTCCCCAAACTATAAAAAACCCCTCAGATGCTTTAATAGTTTATTCTCAAAATCTCCTGTTTCTTCCTTCCACCTACTCCTCTCTTCTGTTGTCTCCTTGACTTTCAAAATGTATATTACAAATCCTCCAAGCAGGGCTTTTTTCTTTGGGGTGGGTGGGCTTAGGCAACAGCATTCTGTGCACCTCGGCGTCTAGTTGTGCCAGCCACATGACCACAGAAATGTCTTCGGACAGCGCTGGCTCTTCGGCTTGGAAACAGAGATGAGCACCGCAACCTGGAGTCGGATTCGACTGGCTTTTGAGCAAGGGAAACCTTTACCTTTACCTTTAAAATACACAAACACATGGCTGCCTTCTCCTGAGTCAAGGTCAGTACTGGCCACTCAGACTGGCAGCAGTATAAGCCTTTCACATCACCCTCAACTTGATCCATTTAGGTGGATATTCCAGGGAGTGAGCCCACGTCTCGGTGCCTGCAAAGCAGATGCTCTGCAACTGGGCCACAGCTCCTCCTTGCCAGGCACTTTAGTCATAAATAATGATGACAATATCTCACATAGGAAAACCACCAATAATACTTTCCTATGTGCACTTGAGGTTATGTTGCCACACGGGCAGGGCTAGTTAGAGGATGCCCTTGGTTGTGAGTTTTTGGGTTTGGCTGTTGGGGCACACAACACTCACACAAGCCAGACTCCTCTGTGACTGAGGTTGTCAGCTCTGGGTTCGGAGACTCCTGGAGATTTGGAGGTGGAGCCGGGGGAGGGTGGGGTTTGGGGAGGGGAAGGACCTCAGTGGGGTACAATGCCATAGAGCCCACCCTCCAAAGTTGCCATTTTCTCCAGGGGAACATGGAGATCAATTGTAGTGCTGGGAGATTTCCAGGGGTTTGGCAATATGAGCCACAGCACAAGAAGTGTGGTGGGTGACCACCACAGCAAAATCTTGTGCTGTTGGATATCTCTTTCCCCCAGTCCTCACTTCTTCTGCTCTCAGTTTAGTGCGGCAAAGATCAACCAGGTGTGTGTGTGGGGGGGGGAAGCTGCTGTCTAGACAGCACCTTCAAAACCATGTTGAGTCAAAGGGAAGGAAGTGACCTTCTTCTGTGACTTGCAGTGGTGGCTCTATTGTGAAGTCCTCCAGCAGTGGGCTTGGAGAGCAAGTGGGAGACCAACACAGCTGACCCAGAAAGAAGCTTTCCTGCATAAGCAGCAGTGAAGTGCCTGGGAGCTGTTTCACGAGCATGGAAGAACATGGAAGATGGGGAAGGGGTTGCTTTAAAAAAGAAAATTCAAGGCCACTCAAACTACAACCCAAATGTTTGTTTTGTAAATTACTCTAATAGCATAGTGATCATGAGACATCGTTACATCACCTTTCCCGGATGGCCCTGGAACGTAGCCCACGAGCGAATGACTGTGTTTCCCTGAGCGATCATTTCCTTGAAGTCAAAGAAACAGGTGGCGATCTTCCTTGGCTGCCATGCCCAGAATTTATGGAGGTAGAAATCTGTCAGCCGACAAAGGAAATAGGGATGCTGCTTCACTTTTCTGCAGCCTTCTGATCTGGAGCCGGAGCCCCCAAAGGGCTGGCTTCTTCCATGAGTTTAGACCCTTGGCTAGTCTACACATAAGCCAAGGCCTTGCAAAACATGTTTTTTTTAAAAGTTTATTTTAACAGGTTTTTCAAAACATTACATATTTCATCATATTAGATTTTTCACATTTTTAGAGTTGTCAGTCCATAATTTACGTCTTAATACTTTACAAAAGGCTAACCCCCCCACATAATTCAAGATTGATCTGTTTGACGTTCTATCCAGTCATATACCCTAAACCACCTTTGTTCATGGTATTTTTGGTCTTTATTTTGCAATATTTGGCTCAAATTGTCCATTTGAGCTAGCTCCATAAGTTTAATAACTAGGTCCTCTTTTGAGGGTAATTTATCCGTTTTCCAATTTCTCGCCACTAGTATACGTGCTGCAGTCACTATATATACTATCAGGTATTTATCTTGTTTTTTATAACCTCTGGGAATTATATTCAGTAGATATATCTCAGGCACTAGTTCTATCTCTACATTCAATATTTCAAAAATAATTCTTTGCACCATTTTCCAGAATTTACGTAGTTTACAACAATTCCACCACATGTGGTAAAAAGTCCCCACATTTGCTTTACATTTCCAACAATTGCTACACATTGGCCTTGCAAAACATGTTGAGGAACTGACCTATTATGGAAAGTTTGGGGTTCTAGGGAAACTTAGTATAGAGATCAGGAAGTAGTGACTTAAGGAGATTCCTGTCTAACTCCTGATCCCAGAGACCTTTCCCTAAAAAACCATTGACTGCCCCCCCCCCTGCAGAATATTATATAGGCATGGGGCTCTTTTGCCCCTTCCTGCCCGCTATGAATAGCTACTGAGACTTCGGCAGAGTTCTCTTCTCATGCATCTCAACTGCTCCCTCTCATTTGTCTGTGCCTTGGCTCATGCGGGGAAGGACAAAACCAGACACGATGCTGGAGTTGTATGAACAGAATTCCCGGCTTATGTTTCTGTACATCAGAGGTAACAGGGGCCTGGTTCAGATTGGGACCAAGGTGTGAGGGGAGAGGACTTTATTTCAGGTTGTGAGATTGGCATGGAGGACAGACGTGAACCCCCTTCCCCTTGCCCTGTGGTCCCAGTCAGAATCAGGCCCATGTCTGCCTGATTTTTACATGGGGATGTGTGTGTTGGGGAGCTCCATTCACAGGACTCCCAGCATCTCGGGGTGGGGTGGGGACGGTTCTGCCAAAGCTGTTCATACTGGACAGGTGGGGGTTAAAGTCCCCTTTGCCCATGTCTCAGCTATGGGTGCACTGAACCAGTGCTGGCAGCCCTTCAAACTTATGTGTCACAACAACAGTTAAAAATTAGCTTCTGACTAGAGACTCGCCTTAATTGCTTGTAATAACAATTCTGAGAAGGAAAGTTCACCGGTGGTGGTAGAGCCAGAAGCCAGGCTAAATCAGGAGACTGGGTTCCAGAAAGGGAAGGAGAAAGATCTGAGGGAGAAGAAGGTGACATTCCTGTAGGTACAAGTCAGTTAGATACACAAAGCCAGCAGCTCTTGCTCAGAAAACTTTCTCCCACTCTGATCTGTCGGGCGAAGGAAAGGAGTGTCATTTTCCCAAAGGACAGGCAGGCTCCTGCCGTGTTAAGAAGAAGGATTAAGACGCTCTGCTGTGTGTTTTCCTGCCAAATCCTGCCGCTGGAGGCGGCTTTTGCTGCTGAGACTAAGAAGAGGATGTGTCCAGCGCTGTTTCCTGTCTGATAACAGTAGCCGGCCCCTCCAACCGGATGTTATGAGTCCTGGTGCTACCTTTATGCTTTAAGCCCAGGGCTGAGGAGAAAATCAGGAATTGTTTGTGCTTTGGGGGGAAAATAATGTTTCTCTCTCTCCCCCTTCTTCCTCCCTGTGTGTACACTTAACAGTGCAAAACTCACACAACATCACGTGCAAAATGATGTCGAGTAACTATAATGGATTTTAAAGGTTTGGTATCTCCCCCCACTCGCAGGGGTTGATAAAGCAGGGGAACAGAAACAATAACAGCAATAATTTGGACACCCTCACCACTTCCAACTCTTCCCCTCAAGCTGTCTTGTAAGCTTTTAGGGGATCCAGAGGAATGTTCTCCCAGCCACCCCCTTTCCCCCCTTTAACCCACTCACAGGTGATCTCGACATTCAGTCCTTTTGAGAATGGGTTTTGTTCTTATCAGGCTATTTTTGTAGCTATATTTTCTGATTTACAAAGTCATATTCTGTGTGCATAACTACAGAATACACAGCCTCAAGGTCCATCTCCAAGTCCGCCCTTGGTCCTGTCAAGCCTCTCCCCTCCCCCCCTTGTTTCACAACTTGGAATGACCACAGAGAGCCCCTATTTTCCTTATTGGGGAAATTTACATGGAGTCCATTGATATATGTGTAACCCATCAATACCCATGCATCTCCATGGGGACAAACAGTTCCCCAGGGCCATTTCAGGTCAGAAAAACTGTGTGTGCGCGGCATGGTTTTGAGGCTTAAACCATGCACTGTAGTCTGGATCCAAATTAGCCCCCATGTGCCTGAGAATCTAAGCTTCAATGAGAGCTCTCAGTGCACAGCAACTTGACTGAACCCAAAGTGGTCCCAGGGACCAACCCAGAAATATTACATTGTTTAGTCAGGTATTCATATTTTATGGGCGCAAGGCAGCACACATAGGTTTAGTAGTACTGCACACACAGAGACCTGCTCCTGGCAAAGCATTACCTTACATACAGTGCCCATGATTAATTTCAGATATGATTTTAGTTCTTGCATAGTGGAGCAGCTGATGTAGCAATTTGAATGGAGGGATTCATGCACAAAGGAGAGCGGGTTCTCAGCCCTTCCCCCTGGCACGCTTTCACTGCTAAAAATCAGAACCTCTAACCACATTCCTGACCCTGCAGGAAGGGGAAATGGGTATCTGTATCTCTCCCAGAAAAGGTAAAGGCAGTTGGGGTAGGGCAGTGATTTTGCATTAGACAAATGGTAGGAGGGCTGGGAAGGGGGGTTAAAAGCCCCTTTCCTAGGGTTGCCAACTCTGGCTTGGGATATTCCTGGAGATTTGGGGATGGTGCCTGGGGAGACCAGAGTTTGGGGAGGAGAGGGAGCTTAGTGGTGATGTAGAGTCATTTTGTGATGTCACATCCAGGTGAAGGGTCAACACCTCCAACTCTTCCCCCTTCCTGTGAGGCCACCAAAATTCAAAATTTAAACATTCTGCCTCATATCAGTCAGCCCCCCCCCAAAAAACCCTCTCAAAAGTATCTTCAGATTTTTCTAAGTGAAATCTCCAGTCTGAGCACCCATAGGATGCCAGCCAACAGCAGTCCCATCCCCCTCTCAGTTCTCAAAGGCAATGAACAATCAGTTTCTTTGAGTCTCTGGGGAGCAATGGCAGTCCTAAGGCACACACTCTCCATAGCCCCTTCAGAACTCCAGCTTCTCCTATCATATACCATGGAGTCCACTCTTTGATGCTGCCATGTTATCCAGAAAACTGAACTCCATAGTCTGAAAATCGGTTGTAATTCCAGGAAAACTCCAGACTCCACCTTGAGGTTGGCAACCCTATTCCAAAGGCGATTATAGCTGGCAAATGGCCTTCCGTGATGCTTTCAATTGAGGGGCAGCTTAGGCCTTAATGGATTTTGGTCAGATCTAGCAATACACTTCTGATTTCTTAAAAAACAATGCATCCCCTAGATCATTTAACACAGATGACTTAAGTAAGCCTTGCTAGGATCCCTTAACTACCAAGGCATAACTAAGCTGTGGTGGGGAAATACCTGGGTGGGGAAATACCTGAAGGTTTTGGGGGTGGAGCCTGAGGAGGGTGGGGTTTGGGGAGGGTCCTCAGCAAGGTACAGTGCCATAGAGTTCCCCCTCCAAAGCAGCCATTTTGTCCAGGGCCGCTGATCTCTGTCATCTGGAGATGTAGTTGTTATAGTGGGGGTCTCCAGGCATCACCTGGGGTTTGGCAACGCTCCTAATCCTGTATATACACTTTTGCTTTATAATTTTAAAACACAGCAGTGTAGGCTTGCCAAGTCCCCCCGGGGGGCGGGGAAACCCCCGCCCCAGAGGCCCGTTTCCCGCCGCCACCGGATCGGGCCCCGGGGGGAACTCCACTCCGACGTGCACGTCACCAGGAAGTGACGCGACCATGCCGGGCATGCTGGGGACGGGGACACGCACGCGGCCGGGGCCACGCTGGGGATGGGTTTTCCCTCGGATGGTCATGGCCCTGCCCCCAGCATGCCCGGCGTGGCCGCGTCACTTCCTGGTGACGTGGATGCGGCGCACGTGTGCTTTGCGCGCGCACACACGCTCCAGATTTGACCTGGGAGTCCCCCGCTTCAGGACGAGGTACGACTTGGCAACCCTACAGCAGTGGGGCTTGGAGATCGTAGTAGTAGTAGTAGTAGTAGTAGTAGTAGTAGTAGTAGTAGTAGTAGTAGTAGTAGTAGTAGTAGTAGTAGTAGTAGTAGTAGTAGTAGTAGTAGTAGTAGTAGTAGTAGTAGTAGTAGTTTTTTAAATCTCCAAAGGCAGACAGAAGTTTATTCTCCCATAAAGGACTGCAGTTTGCTATAATGGCAATAATATTTTTTTCCTCTGGAAGTGCCTTATCCATAGAAACATTACAGAGGTTCCCCTGTAATTACTTTCAATAATTGCTGCGAGGAAACCATTTTGTTTGAGCATCCCATCCTAAAGCTGGTGGCCTGTTCATTTGATTTGCCTCTACCACCCTGCCTGCAATTTCTTTTGATTTACTGTTAATAGAAAGTTTGAAGCCCTGTCATTCAGCATCATTCCTACCCCCCCCCACCCGAACATTGGAGCAAGCAGAACACCAGGCGTATCAGGAAGGAAACTGTCAGATCTGCTCAGATGATGGGGACTAGCCCACGCAGTATCTGATCTTCCCCTAAAACCCCGGGGGGGGGGGGAGACTCTAAAACAAGGATGGCTGAGAAGTCTAAAAGCAACGGGGTAGAAGGGTGGAACTCAGAATCCGACCTCCTTTCCTGTTTGACTTGCTGAAAGAAGCTATGGAAAGAGGCCTCTAAAGAGGAAGAACTGGGTGGGAGGGGAGGGCAAATGCCATCTTGACATGCACTGACTTTTGCCTAAAAATAGCTGTTGTTTTTTTTAGTGTGCTGTTCACTTTGCTATACTATGTATCTTGTTAAATATATCTATTTGTTCTTTTGGATTTTTAAAGTCTATCCATAAAGGCCCAGGGTTGGCTAAGGACACCCTTAAGAGAGCCCGCAGGAGAACTGCACGTACTGGCTGGAGGACCAATGAGATCTGCTGAGATCAACTGGCGGGAAGGGCCTATGAAACGTGCCTTCGAGGTATAAAGGTGTCACCTCCAGGCTCAGCCCTTCAGCCTGATCCACTTGTTGGTAGCTGAGGACTCTGCAGTCTCTTTGGATCCTAGTGTCTGATCCCTGCCTGATTTTTTTTCCCTTGGGTCTTGTCTCTACCATACACACAGAGTGACTTATAGATTCTGACTCCTTGGCTAACTTGGTTAACACTGGCATCTCTAGAAGCCAAAGCCTCATTTATCTCTGCAGGGGAATGAAGTGGCAGAGGCTTGAAGAGAGTATGGCCTGACATATACCATCAGTGAGATATATATTTCCAGGTACAATTTGAAGGGGACTTTTAAAACCCTACAGGGATTAGGTAAAGGGGATGAGAGGGACTACCTCCCCTCATGTGATACAATTTTTGCAGCCCATGGTCTGCTCTCTGTTCCCACAGCAAGACAGGGCCTATTCAGCCACACACACACACAGGCTGCGAGCACATGCACAATTAGCCCCGCCATAGGCGCGAATGCTGGGTGGATTTAAATGGCACAATCAGACACGAACATCTGGGAAGCACACCGCACCCATCGGCAGCCAATTTTGCTCCTCCACAGAAGCCAAGTAAAGACACCAGGGAAAATCTGGTAGAAAATGGGTTGCGACGGGCCACAGACGGACTTTCCAGTGTCTGATTGCTCCAGCGTCCTCTCATGGCGTTGGGCTGGTCTGATCAGGCCCTCCTGACTCCATGTCGTTGTCCCCCCCACTTTGCAGTATGTGCATCATCGCAAACTCCATAGGGAGCACTCAGTGCGGAGATGCGATTCATCGATTCCTCGTTTAAGTGCATCGGAAACGAACAACAAAAAACAAACTGGTCATGCAGTGGCAGGCTGTGCCTGCAACTTCCAAGGACTGTGTGATCATGCGACTGTGGGACAAATTGCTCCAGAGGAAATAGCCTCGCTCCCCGCCCCCCGCTTTATCTTGCACGTGTGACCACACCCACACCCACACACACAGACTTGAAGAGAGTGTGGCCTGAATCCCCTGCCCAAAAATCCCATCTAACTCCTTTGGTTATGGAAACTCATCCAGCGGGCATGTGAACTGAACTCCTGACATGGTGTCGACTGTTCTTTCCGCCAGTGGCTTATGCTGTTGAATAGTGCAGGCACTGCTTCTATTATTTTATTACTGCTATTATGAATGACAGCTATGCTGCTTGGGTTTTTTCTTGCCTTTAGGTTTTTCTATTATATTACTTTACTCTGTTTTAAGCTTTTAATGTAAGCTGTCTTGAGTGTGATTTTAATAGAAAAGCAGGGTAGACATTTTCTAAATAGGGTTGCCAGCTCTGGGTTGGAAAACACCTGGAGACTTTGGGGGTGGATCCAGGAGAGGGCGGGGTTTGGGGAGGGGAGGGGCTTCAGCATGGTGCAATGTCACAGAGTCCACCCTTCAAAGCAGCCATTTTCCCCAGGGGAGCTGATCTCTGTCAGCTAGAGATCAGTTGTAAAAGCAGGAGATCTCCAGGCTCCACCTGGAGGCTGGCAACTCCATTTCTAAATAATTAACTTAGACAGAGTAGAGTCTTCGGCTAAAATGGGGGGAGACATAATCTTTGGCATTAAAATGGGGGGCATTAGAAATGTGGCCCTGTTTTTGTCTGTGAGATGTTGGCAGTTGTGTCAGTGGAATTTCACAGAGCAACAAAGGTGATTTTTAAAAACATGACTTCAGAAGGAGGCTCAACCTTTCACTTTATTAGAAACAGCCGTTCAATATGGGCCTTAAGAACAATCAGAGCACCATTCAGCATTGGGTACCATCCTAAGAACCAATGGCTCCAAAATTCAATGCTAACAATACTTGGTGACTTCCAAACATCAGCACACATTTAGGCACACACAGGCTTAGGTTCCTTGGCTTGTAGATCTCTATTCTCTTCTTGAGGTCAAAGAGTTTCAGGCCAAGTTCTCATAGAGATAGTCAATCCCATGCCAAAATTCCCTGCCCACAGAGCATAAGCATGTCATGAAAGGCTATAACCCTCCCTCATTTTATGTATGAAGTGTTTCTTTGTTTTTGCTATATGTGTATTCAAACATGTGAGACACCACCTGCAGTTTGAAGTGGTACACCTCAGTCAGAGTCTAACCATCTCATTATGCCTTGGACTCCAAGACAGAAGGCAGAAGAACTGGAAAGGAAAGTATGCCTTCATGTGCAAGCCTCAATGTAAATTATTTCTTCTTCTTCTTCTTCTTTTTCTTCTTCTTCTCATCTTCACCCCCCTCCCTTTCCTTTGTTTTCTCCTGCTTCTTTGGATTTTTGCTGGATCTCCTTTTGTCTTCAGGGGTAGGTGGTGGAGGGTATGGGACTGGGGGGTTGAGCAGAAGTGACTTCTTTTGGAGCTTCAACTGTAAGATATCAAAGGTGGTCTGGATCTCACTCTGTAGAATCTCACACAGACTCTGGATCTGGGTCTTAATGGCTTCACTGACAAGGCACATCAGAGCCTGAAAAACAAACCAATATTCACCTTGGTTTCTGTTTAATGAACATGGATGACAGAGGAAAATTTACCTAGGGAGTGCTGGGATCCACTTGCCAAACTGGTCATCTGCACTGGCCTCCGAAGGGGTATGGGAGGAGAATTTTACTGCCCCGTACCTCACCTGTAACTCTGGGGCGAATGCAGATGACCACTCGCCATGAGGTAGTGTACTAAAATGTGCATGCAACGATGCACGATCCTCTCAATGCCTGGCTGCCACTTGTGTGAACAGGGACAACGTGCATATTTTCCAGCTTGAGCACACACAGTCGGAAGTCCAGGTTTTGAAGGGTACATGTTCATGCATACTGAAGGTGGGAAACTGGCATGTTGCCCTGTTTGCACAAAACGGCAACCTTGTGTATTGGGAGGATTACAGGTAGTAGGCTCTCCTGTTGCATAGTGCTGAAACACCAAGACTGTAATGACTGAAGAGGGCTACAAGAAGAGTTGAACCCACTCTCCCATTATACCACTTCTTGCTCTGCTGCAGCAAGCATTGTTACGTCAGCTTGACTCTGATACTGGAAGTAAAGCTGGAATGGACAGAAGATGGAGGGTAGGGAGGGAATGCCCATTCAAACCCCTTTTGCCAATGTTTACCTTTGCTTGTAAAATTTAGACCCTGACCTGGTCTATTCATGAACTGGGCAGTCTTGGGAACAACAGACATGTTCCCTCTAAGCTGAGTTAGTGTGAGCTAGCTCAGTTTTCTAGCCTCTGGCTCACACATTTTTGTCTTAGCTCAGGAAGAACAGCTCCAAAGCAAACTAATTTATACAGGTGCCAAATGGCTCGCTCACAGTTTTAATGCCAGCATCTCACAAAGTAGAATTTTTGCTCAAAGACTCCACAGCTTAGAGGGAGCACTGATCACAACTAGTATAGTCCAAAGAAGAAATGCTTCCCACATGGTTACATACATACAATGGGACTTGGTATCAAGCTAGTAATGATTTACTAATAGGTAAATTGCTATCACTATAAGTAGCCTATGTACAAAATGCATTTTTCAACTTTGCAAATTCATTACTTCTGTTATACAAGAGTTAGTTGCTTCAAAAGAGACAGTGTAGCACACAACAGAGAAACCACACAGGTACCATTACATGGTCCAGTAAAGAGTGGAATGGGGGAGTTCAGGTAACAGAGACATTATTATTCAGGATGGAGCACAGCAAATCCAGTATCACTTGTAGCTAAGAAAAGGCAGTATAGAGAAAGGTCTGATAAAAACATAGAAACATATGAAACTGCTTTGTACTAAGACGATTTCCATATGGGTTTCTGCCCTGGTTCAATGATTTTGGGAAGCTCCCCCCCCCCCCGCCTTCCCCAGAGCATCATGGTGCATTTGTGTACCTCCTGGGGTTTCCCCAGCTTTTCTCTGAACTTCTTCAAACTTGCTTTGCTGTGATTGCAGTAAAGCATGGATGGCTGCCATATCGGTGGGAAAATTTGGATTGTCTTGCCCCAATGGCAGCCATTTTCCCTGACATGTTTTGTTGCAGAGCAAAAAGGGAAAAGGTCTGTCTCCACAATGGAAGGGGCTAGAGACTTAATTTTTCGAATGACAGCTGGGAATTCAGAGGACCTGTTAAGCATCTTCTTATAACATTATAGCAACAGAATGATATTCAACTGCCTATTGGAAAAAATGTGCAGGAGGGGAGATGGCTGTTGCTGGGAACTGGGGAAGGAAACTGTAGGAAAATCTGCCACAGGGAAGTCTCATTGCCACTGAGCTGTATAAGTAGCCACATCAGCAATGGAGAAATCACCTAACTACATGTTGTTTATTTATTTATTGAAATATTTATATTCCACCTTTCCTTGTGGCTAAAGGTAACTTGCATAAAACATCCCAATTTAAAACCAATAACATAAAACCCCAAATAAACCCCCTTCCCCCAATGAGATGCCTTTAGTTTATAAAACATTAAAAACCCTGAAAATAAAATGGTGTTGCAGAACCTCCTTAAAAAATGCTCACCTCCTCAGGGACCCAGTTCTACAAAGTGGGAGCTGCAATGGAAATAAGGCCTCCTACCTGAATTGGGGAATAGCCAGCAAGGGGCAACCTGAGAAACGTTGTTGATACACAGGGACATATGAGAGGAGACAGTCCTTTAGAGATGTGAGTCCTTGGCCATAAAGGACCTTACAGGTCATAACTGATACCTTGAATTGTAATCAGAAAGAAAATGCTGGCTAATATAGCTGTTTTAAGATAGGCATGATATGCCCCCATTGGCCAGTGCTTGACAGTAATCGTGCTCTGCATTCTGAGTTTCTGGGTTGTCTTCAAGGGCAGACCAATGTGGAACACATTACGGCAGTCCAACCATGAGGTTTCAGAATTACCGAACCAGTTTGTTTGATGGCTAAAACTTTGTGACAACTCATGCTTTGTGAACTGGGCATGCAACGAACCATGAACCAAACTGCATTTTCCTGGCTTGTGCCCATCCCTAATTGCATGACCAAAGAATAAAAGGATTGCTGAAGGAAAATGGGGAGATGGCAGATAAACTAAATGAATTCCTTGCATTTGCGTTCACTGTGGAAAGTGTGGGGCATGTATTATCTTCAGTCTGAAGATTGAGATGACGAGATATGAAGTTCTAGAACTACTGGGGAAATTTAAAAAACAATGTCTCCAGGTCCTGGTGGCATGCACTCAAGGGTTCTTAGGGAACTCAAATATGAAATTGTTGAGGTACTAATCAATATATGTAACTTGTCACTAAAACCAGCAGCTGAACCAGAGCACTGAGAGCAACAAATGTTAAAACAATTTTTAAAAAACGGGTCCAGAGGGGAACAGTTATTACAGGCTAGTTAGACTAACATCTGTCCTAGGCAAATCAGTAGAAACTGTAATTGAAGATAGGATTATCAGGAACAGAGAGGAACAAAGCCTGCTGAGGGGAAATCAGCAAGGCTTCTGAAAAGGGAAGTCCTGCCTTACCAAACTTCTGGAATTCTCTGAGAAAGTGAACAAACATGTAGATCATGCTGACCTGGTAGATATAGTATCTACTAATTGCTAAGAAATAGACAGCTTTAAAAAAGGAGTAGATGGATTCATGGAGTATAGGTCTATCAGTAGCTACTAGTTATGGTGAGTAAAGGGAACCTCCACATTCAGAGGCAGTAAACCAATGAATACCAGTGCCAGGAGGCAACATCAGAGGAAGGCCTCAGCCTACATGTTCTATTGTTGGCCCTCTGGAGTATGATTGGTCACCATGTGAGACAGGATGATGGACTAGAAGAACCACTGGTCTGTTCCAGCAAGGCTCTTCTTAGGTACTTGTGTCTAGCTGCTGTCTAACAGGAAGCAGCTCTTCAATATGACAGGCAGAGAACATTTCCTCCCCCGTGTCCTAAGATCCTTCGCTAGAGATGTCAGGGATTGAACCAGAGATTTTCTGCTTAAAAACAGAAGCTCTACTTCTTTCATTTCAAAAGGCACGAGAGTGGGGGCATGAAACTCTCTGGGGTAACCTGGGGCCAGTCACTCTCTCTTAGTCTAACCAGCTTACAGGATTGTTATAAGGATGACATGGAGAACACGTATGGCTCTTGAATGTCTTGGAGGCGGGGCTGGCATCAGCATACCCTGATGTGGAGCAACCGCTGGGGCCCAGGATAGCTGGCAGGGCCCACTGCTGCAGAGCCCTCCAGCCACATGCTGCCGGGGAAGGACATGCAAGGGGGTGTACAATGGTGGCACTCCTGGCAGAAGCAGTGGTGACATTCCCATCTGCACATACCACCCAGTACCATTGGGGAAAGCTCATATAATCAGTGCCAAGGCTCACAAATGGGTGGGGGAAGGAAGGACACACAGGCATGTGGGGATGTGGGTGGGCTAGAAGGAGGGCACCAGCAGGGGTCCTGGTGGTGGTCAGAGCAGGAGAGGGGACCCCTAAGAACTCTCTGCCCATGGTCCTATGAAACCTGGAAATAGCCCTCCTCAGAGGGGTGAGGTCAAAATAGGGTTGCTAACCTCCAGGTGGGGTCTGGCAGTCTCCCAAAATTACACCTCCAGAGTACAGGGATCAATTCCCTTGGAGGAAATTATTACTTTGGAGGATGGTATGGCATTACACCCAGTTAAAGTCCTTCCCCTCCCCAAGCCCCACCTCCCCAGACTCCACCCCCAATCCTCCAGGAATTTCCCAACCCAGAGATAGAGCAACCCAAGATTAAAAAGTGATTTTAAAGGTGCTGGGAGTAACAGACTATGGAAAATTAAGGCAAAGGAGTGAGGAAGGTTCAGATTCCCTCATTTGTGCATGCTTATGTATGTTACAAATAGACTACACTTTTACCCACTTTCTATAAGAGCAAGGCAGATACCTAAACAAACATGGCTGCCACCATCACACCTGCTTTGGCCCTCAGCCCTCTGATGTTTGCCAGATATGTTCTCAGTGACTTTATGCTTTTCCCCTGTGCGTTCACAGGGTGTGGCTTGGGAACACAGCTTTGTGCTGACAAGGCTGGAAAGTAGCCAAGGACATAGCGTAGGGGCCTAGAGTTTCAAGTGGGTCAGGGAGGTAGCCAGCCATTATGCGTGAAATACATGTCAAAGACAGTCGGCAGACTAGATTACTGTAACATACTCTGTGTTGGGTTTCCCCTGAAGACAACTCAAGATGCTCCAGTTATTTCTGAACAAGTTGGCTAGCTTGTTGACAGGGACCTGTTGGTTCATCCATTTTTCTGCAACATTAAAACAAGTATACTGGCTGCCCATCGGGTTATGGGTTCAGTTTATGGCCTTTAAAATACTTCATGGCCTGGGACACATGTACCTGAAGGCCCGCCTCTCCTTGTATGACCTATGCAACAACTCCACCAAGCTTAGCAGCTCCTTTCCAGTTCATCTTCACAGCAGTCTCAGTCTTTACTGCTTTATTTGAGAGCTTTTTCCAGTGGGTTTTCAGTGGATATCATTTGGAAGGCCCCATCCCTTCCTGTATTTCTGAAGAACTGTAAGCCTGTGTTATTTGACAGGGCTTTTCTTTGAGACTTTGGAATTGATCTGTCTGGAATGGATTTGTTTTAGTGAGAGTCTATAGGCTGCGGTGGCTCAAGTGGTTAAGACACTGAACTGCAGGCTGTGGAAGGTCAGTAGTTCAGCAGTTCAAGACTCAGGTGCCGCATGACGGAGTGAGCTCCCGTCTCTAGTTCCAGCTCCTGCCAACCTAGCCGTTCGAAAGCAAGAAATTGCAAGTAGATAAATAGGTACCACTTCGGTGGGAAGGTAACAGCGTTCCGAGCGCCTTGGTGTTTAGTCATGCCGGCCACATGACCACGGAAACGTCTTCGGACAGCGCTGGCTCTTCGGCTTTGAAATGGAGATGAGCACCGCAACCCTAGAGTCGGACTCGACTGGCTTTCAAGCAAGGGAACCTTTACCTTTACCTATAGGCTGATATATTTGGCCGCTTTCTTTTGAGGATTGTTCACTGTGGAAATTAGAATTTGTTGGGTTTTTTGTTTGCTTGCTTGCGCTATTGTAGCCATTCTGATAGGGTTGCCAGCCTCCTGGTGATCTTTGTAAGGAAAAACAACCATGATATGATAACGGAACCTTGTTAGAGAAAAATATATCTTCTTTAATTATCCAGTGAATAACAAATCATTAAAGGTGTTTTCTTTGAAGTAAATTGGTCTCAAATTTTTCTTTCTGACGGTACAGTGCTCAATAGGCCGTTTCACTCAAGGTTTCATCCGATGAGACCTTACACTAGAAAATATACAAAAATACATAAAATTTTCACCACTTATAGTTTTTTCCTTTAAAAACAAAAGCATTCTGATCTCTGTTTTGGGTGCATTCAGACTATAAGTGGTGAAAAAATTATGTATTTTTGTATATTTTCTAGTGTAAGGTCTCATCGGATGAAACCTTGAGTGAAACGGCCTATTGAGCACTGTACCGTCAGAAAGAAAAATTTGAGACCAATTTACTTCAAAGAAAACACCTTGAATGATTTGTTATTCACTGGATAATTAAAGAAGATATATTTTTCTCTAACAAGGTTTCGTTATCATATCATGGTTGTTTTTCCTTACAAAGTTCAGCCTGTCCCGTGATCTCTCGTCCTTGACTTAACCTCCTGGTGATAGCTGGAGATCTCCTGGGATTACAACTGATCTCCAGGTGACAGAGATCAGAACCCCTGGAGAAAATGGCTGCTTTGGAAGGTGGACTCTATGGCATTCTACCCCACTGAGGTCCCTCCCCAACCCCACCCTCCTCAGGTTCCATTAAAATCTCCAGGTATTTCCCAACCAGGAGCTGGCCAACCCTATGTCCTGAGTTTTGGGAGAGTGGGTTAATAAATAAATAAGCAAGCAAGCAACAGTGACTGGTCTCCAGGCAACCTCCTGGGAGTTACTGATTGGAAGAGATTCATAGATCCTGAAGGCCTTGACTGTAGTGTGGCAAAATCCAGGCCTTGGGAAGTACAAGTGTGGGAGTTTCCTATCAATGTATAGGGTGGTACACTGAACAACCCATTATACCCTCTGGGGCTGATGCCCCAGTTCTACACTGGAGTTCAAAAGGTGACACTCTCTGACTTTGCTTGAACTCATCCGCCACTGCCGGCAGCGCAGTGAGACATACACGCGTGGGCATTAATGGCCCATTAATTCCACTCAATAGACAGCCTGACAATAAAAAAATGCCTCAGAGTTTCATCAAATTCTCCACACAAATTTGCTTCCAGGTGGAGGAGACCCAGAAAAGCATGCCTAGGCAGGAGGACGTTTTTCCGTCTCAAGCGTGATAAACTCGTCATGGCTTGATTATGCAGACTGAGACCAGAAAGGGCGGGCGGGTGGGAGGGAGGGAGGGAGAGAGAGACAGTTTGGAAGAGACAGCCAAAGGCCTAGCCTGAAGTGCTGCATTAACAACAGAGATCCCCATTCTGTCAGTTCACAAAATAAGCTGAAGGCATTTGCAAGTAGTGATTGATTTGCCAGCTGAGTGCAGAAGCTCTGACCAGCATCTGTTGATAAAACAACCGTGCCTCTAAAAACCTAGTGAGGTGCAGGAAGTTGACAGAAGAAATGGGAACATATCCTTGAATCATGACCCATGGCTTTCTTGTAAGGCTTGACTGGTCTAGGAGGTGAAGCGTCAATCATTCAAGCCAATGAATACTAATTGGACTACCATGTGGGGCTGTGGACTGATGGGGATAACACAACCTGTGACCACCTGGTAATAGCAGGTATTAAGAGGATTAGAGACAACAAACACATAAACCCCGCCTGATACTAGTGAGACAGGGTTTTCCTCAGCATCTACTGAGATCTTTTTAACTGGCTAGGCTGTGGCTTCATTCTGAGTCTTAATGCTTGCAAAGCGCATGTTCTACCTCTGAGCTACAGCCCCTGTTCATGGCTGTAGATAGTCAAGGAGGGGGGGGGGGGGGGGGAATGGGACAGCAAGACTGTGAAGGTCAGAGCTGAAACCTGTATATATCCCTTTTCTTGTAATTTAGTTATTGCCACACAAGAAAGAACTTTCAGAGTCTCCCAGAGCTATTTGGTTCAATAAATTGCCTTTTTGTGGCACATTGTGGGCTGGATTTTTTAAAAATGCAATTAATTTCTGTGATGCATGTGGGGAGGAGAGAACACGTATGTTGATCTTTCTGCTCCCAGACAATGAGTTCAGTATTCCCTGGCCTTTTGTTCTGTGATAATTTGAGAGTTTATACCAAGAACCAGGAGGTACACCTCCGCTCCAAACATTTACTACTTTTTAGCTGTCATGGCCTCTTCCCCACAGAACTCTGGGACTTGGTAGTTTATGTTAGGAAGCATAAAAAAAAATCTGTGGTAAAAATGTTTAGTGTCTGTGCCAAATTCCGTCACACAGTGTGGCTGTGATCACACACACTAAACAATCCACTTTCAATCCACTTTCAATGCACTTTTAAACTGGATTTTACCAATTCACACAATGTATTGAATTACTGAGTGTGTGTGGCCCTGTTCGCACAGAGAAGTTGCCACGCTGAAGACACGGATGATAGGCGGATTTTCTGGGCACGATCACACCGCAACATCTGGGAAGCGTAGTGCATGGCTAACCCGTGGCTTGTTGCCGAAGATGCGGAGTAAAAAACCACCACATACAATGTACTAGTTTCAGGAAAACGTGGGGCAAGGGCGGGCGTCTGATTGTGTTTCCACTGGAAACCCGTGGCATCCGGCGCCCATCCATGTCCTGTTGCAAACTGGATTTTTTTTTAAGTCTCCACAGGATGCGCACAAACGATCACGCACATGCGCAAACTTCTGTGAGATAAAAAAAATTCCTGTTTGCCACGCTTCCCTCCCCCCCCCCGCATTTTCCGGCCCATGTGACCAGGGCGTGTGATTGTAGCCTCTGACTTCCTTGTGAAAAATAGCTAAAATAATACTAGTCAAATCAGTTCAGGGCCTGTTCAAGTATGAACCAGTGTGGTACATGGTGTAATGGCTAAAGTGTCAGACTAGGGAACCTGGGAAACCCAGGTTCAGATTCCTGCTCTGCCATGGAAGCTTGCTGGATGACCCTGGGCTTGCCATTTTCTTTCACCCTAACCTATCCCACAGATTGTTGTGAGGATAAAATGAAGGCAGGGGAAACAATATAAGCTTTTTAAAATCCCTATTGGGGATAAAAGTGGGGTATAAATAGATCAATAACACACCTATGCCTGCTCAGGACATGTTTGTACATTCCGTTTCCCCAATTTACCTCTTTGCTGAGGACCCGTGCTTGTCGTTGGACATCACTGTACACTTTCTGCAGCGTACGTTCCTTCTCCCGGTCCAGGGTTTCTCGGATAAGCACCATCTCAGCTCTCTTTTGGGCTTCCATCTCAGAGAGGGCGGCCAGCTGTTGCTGGTACTTCCAGACTTCAACATCCATGCCTTCCATCAGCGGCAGAGGTGTGGGTGGAGCGTAGAGTTCGAGGCTGGTAAATGTCTGACAGCGGTCTCTCTCCTGCTCTAATGTGAACTGGTACAGCCAGTAATGCTTAATGAAAGTGTTATGAAAGTAATCACACACTGCACGTAGTTTGACAACGGGCAGCCTCACCCGGAAGGCAGTAAGCTTCTCTTGTAGGATCTGGATGGCCTGTGAAATGGGCAAACCTAGTGGGGGGAAGGGAAATTCATGTTATGGAAGTCTCAGATTACTTTATCATTGCACTTATATCCCACTAGGAATAAGGCCCATTATGGAAATAAATACAACGAGATCTAGAAAGAGGCTCTAGACAGATGCCCTGGCCTTGGGCACTCAGCATCAATTTGCTGTGGTGACCTCAGCAGTGTATAATGACACAGAGTCCACCGTTTTCTCCAGGGGAACTTATCTCTGCCATCTGAAGAGCAGCTATAATTCTGAGTGATCTCCAGCCCTCACCTGGAGATTGGCAGGAGTGGTTCCCCAGGAGGAAATGGCTGGTTTGGAGGGTAGAGCCTATGGCATTGTACCTGTTTGAGGTCCCACCCTCCTCAAACCCCACCCTCTCCTGACTCCACCCCTCAAATCTCCAGGAATTTCCCAACCTGGAGCTTGCAAACCTATCTCCTTCCCAGCCAACCATCAACCTACCATTATCTGCCCCTCTGACTTCAGCTTTCCATCTCCCCCCCACCTGCAGCCTCTACCCTGCTCTGAAGCCCTGACTGCTACGTCACACTGGCTGTCATAGGGGAGCCATCTCAGCAGGGTAAAGGACACAGAGTCCACCATTTTCTCCAGGGGAACTGATCTCTGCCATCTAGAGAACAGTTGTAATTCTGAGATTGGCATCAATGGTTCCCTAGGAGGAAAAGTACAGTCTTTCTCTACAGTGGGGACCAAAGCAGCTTACATCATTTTCCTCTTCCCCCTTTTGATTTGCACAACAACCCTGTGAGGTAGGTTAGGCTGAAAGTCTGTGACTCATCCAAAATCACCCACTCAGCTTCCACAGCAAGATCCTGGGTCTGGTAGACCCTGCTGTGAAGTGCTAACTGCTATGCCACACTGGCTGTGGTATCACCTGGTATCACAACTGAACTCCAGATAACAGATCTCTCTCCCCCTGGAGAAAATAACTGCTTTGGAGGGTGGACTCTATAGCATTCTATTCAGCTGAGGCCCCTCCCCTCCCCAAACCCGGGCTTCCACAGACTTCAGCACAAAATCTCCAGCAATTACACAATCTGTACCTGGCAACCCTAGTCAGGACTGGCCCCAATGAGTTCCCCACAAAGGCCTGGAAAGGGCTTCATTCCATTGTATTTTTACTGACAGAACCAAGCCTGGCTGCCTAGCAACAACCACTGAGGGAAAAGTTAGTCTCAGAGGAGCCAAGCAGAAGTGTCTTCATCAGGAGAGACAGCCGTTTTTGCAGTTATTCTAACAGGGAACAGTGGCTGAAATGGCAGTGAGTGGGGAAAAGGAGCGGACCCAGCACCCAGCCAATGGCACGCGATTATTCTTGCAGTTGATGGGCCAATGGCTGATGGAGCACACAGCACAGCCAATGGGAGAGCTGGAAATGGCAAACATTAGGAGAATTATATATATAAGATACTTCTTGCAAGGAAACTCAGAGAAGCTGCAAGTCTGGTTATGCTTGAAAGGCGCATGATATAGCAATCTTGGTTAAGGTGTGGGGTCAGGATCTGGCCACAGCCACAGTGGTGGTGGGAAGCACTGTCAAGTCGCAGCTGACTTATGGTGACCTTGTAGGGTTTTCAAGGCAAGATACAAACCAAGGTGGTTTGCCTCCGCATAGCAACCCTGCATTTCCTTGGTGGTCTCCCATCCAAGTACTAACCAGGGCAACCCTGCTGAGCTTCTGAGATCTGACAAGATTGTGCTAGCCTGTGCCATCCCCATCAGGGCAAGAGCCAAAGACCTCCTGGGACTCCTAGAATCATAGAATCACTGAGTTGGAAGGGGCCATACAGGCCATCTAGTCCAACCCCCTGCTCAATGCAGGATCAGCCTAGAGGATCCCTGACAAGTGTTTGTCCAAACACTGCTTAAAGACTGCCAATGAGGGGTAGCAAATACAGCAGAAGACAGAGTCAGGAAACAGGATTGTCTTGACAGGCTGGAAAACTGGGCTAAAACAAATAAAATGAATTTCAATGGGGTAAATGTAAAGTTCCGCATTTAGGTAGGAAAAATCAAATACATAATTATAGGTTGGGGGAGACTTGTCTTGGCAGTTGTATGTGCAAAAAGGATCCAGGGGTCTTAGTAGACCATACACTGAACATGAGTCAGCAATGTGATGCGGTTGCTTAAAAAGGCAAATACGGTTTTGGGCTGTATCAACTGAAGTATAGTGTCCAGATCACGCAAAGTGATGGTACCACTTTACTCTGCTCTGGTTAGACCTCACCTAGAGTATCGTGTTCAGTTTTGGGCACCGCAGTTTAAGAAAGATATAGACAAGCAGGAACATGTCCAGAGGAGGGCAACACAGATGGTGAGGGGTATGGAGACCAAGTCCTATGAGGAAAGGTTGGGGTATGTTTAGCCTGGAGAGGAGACAACTGAGAGTTGATATGATAACCATCTTCAAGTACTTGGAGGGCTGTCATATAGAGGATGGTGTGGAGTTGTTTTCTGTTGCCCCAGAAGGTCAGACCAGAACCAAAGGGTTGAAATTAAATCAGAAGAGTTTTCAGCTAAACATTAAGAAGAAGTTCCTGACAGAGGGGTTCCTCAGTGGAACAGGCTTCCTCAGGAGGTGGTGGGCTCTCCTTCTCTGAAGGTTTTCAGACAGGCTAGATGGCCATCTGAGAGGGCGGGCAGGAAGGGTTGCCTCAGCGCTTAGTTCTTGTGGCCCTTCCTTACACACCCAGGGAAATGCTTTTGCTGATTGCCACTTTGGGGCCAGGAAACAATTTTTCTCCAGGCCAGTTTGGCCAGGGGTCCTGGAGGTTTTTTGTCATCTTCTGGACGTGGAACAGCAGTCACTGCGGGTGTGGAGGGGGAGGTACATGCGAATTTCCTGCATTGTGCAGGGGGTTGGACTAGATGGCCCTGGAGATCCCTTCCAACTCTATGATTCTATGATTCCCTAGGCAGCTGATTCCACTGTTCTACAACTCTTACTGTAAAGAAGTTTTTCCTAAGATCCAGTTGGTACCTTCCCGCCCTTAATATAAACCCATGATTGCGAGTCCTATCCTTTGCTGCCAGCAGGAACAGCTCCCTGCCCTCCTTTGAGTGACAGCCCTTCAAATACTTAAAGAGAGCAATCATGTCCCCCCCCACAACCTCCTCTTCTCCAGAATGAACATTCTCACGTCCCTCAGCCTTTCATCATAGGACTTGGTCTCCTGGCCCCTGATCATCCTTGTCGCTCTCCTCTGCACCCATTCCATTCTGTCCAGGCCCATAGCCAGGATTTCTTAAATCAGGGGACATTTAAATAAGTTGGGGGACACTGAAATTAAAATTAAAAAGGGTTTTTTTTAAAGCCCTGAAGCCGAGCGCCACGGAATTGGCCTCTACTGCCGCTCCGGCTGGGCACCCAGGCGCAGGTAGAAGAGGAGGAGGAGGAGCCTTGGCCCTGCCTGGCTGGCTTCTGAGCACCACCAAAAGTTTCCATCGGCCCCAGCTCACCTGCTGGCCTGCCCGCCTGGTTGCCTTGTGCCACCTCCCCATTGGGGCAGCCCATGCTGCTGCCACCGCCAGCTTGGTACCCCCAGCCCCTCCCCCCGATGTGCCCAGTCTCCAGCCTCACGGCTTCTCTCTGCCCTCCTTATTCTCCCAGTTCCCTCTTGTTCAGCCTTTCAAGCCCCCCCCCCCCGGAGTCTACCTCGCGGGAGGAGGTGGCGTGCATCAGCCCAGCCCGTCAGGAATGTCATCGCCACCACTGTGCACAGGACCCAAGTTTGGCCCAATGCCCGTCTGGTTGCCTTTCAAGTCCCCCTGGAGTTTATCTCGCAGGGGATAGCAGCATGCAGCAGCCCAGCCCCTCAAGAGCGCCATCGCCGCTGCTGCACACAGTTCTGCCTGAGTGGAAGGAATTGGGGGGGCGGACTTCCTCTGTGTAGGCAACTCTTCAGGAGGGAAAGGCCCAACCCAAAGGACAATCCTTGAGCTGACCCAACCTCGCCTGTGGCCTGCCCCCCTACCTGACTGGCACCGCTTCCTCACCTTGAAACCTGGGATGGCCCAGAGAGTCGGGGGGGGGGGCTATATAGGATGTTGTGGGGCCTTGGTAGGAAGTCAGGGGGTGGGCCCCGGGAAGCCCCACTGTAGCTATGGGCCTGATTCTGTCCACATCCTTTTTGAAGTGAGGCCTCCAGAACTGCACACAATACTTGAGGTGCGGCCTGACCAATGCAGTGTACAGCAGGACAATGACATCTTGCAATTTGGATGTTATGTCTCTGTTGATACACCCCAAGATCACATTAGCCTTTTTTGTTGCTGAATCACACTGGCTGCTCATATTTAACTTACAGTCCACCTGTACCCTAAGATCTTGTTTACACACACTGCTACCCAGAAGTGTATCCCCCATCCAGTATGTGTGTTACTCATTTTTGTTACCCAGATGTAGAACTCAGCACTTATCCTTGTTAAATTTCATCTTGTTCACATCTGTCCATTTTTCCAGTGTGTTCAGATCTTCTTGAATTTTATCTCTATCTTCTGGTGTGTTTGCTGCTCCTCCCAATTTCGTGTCATCTGCAAATTTAATGAATAGCCCCTCCACACCCTCATCCAGATCATTTATAAAATACTGAAAAGTACCAGACCCAGACCTGAGCCCTGCATAACACTGATGGAAGAAAAGTGGGGTAAAAGTTCAGATGACCACCTGCATGAAGCTACACACAAGGAAAGATGAGGATCAAGCCTACTTTGCCCCTTTTCTGAGCACATCATATGTCTTCATATGAGCATAATGGGTTGGAGCTAACCAGCTATACTGCTAGTGATAAAGAAAAGAGGGTTTCCTTTTGACCACCCAAAAAGACTGTGTGCGGGATCACAGGACTTGCATGGACAAAAGGAGGGCTGTAGTGAGAAGAGGAACTGGACACGATTGAGTGGGAAAGCCCAAATCACATTATTCTTTCCAGGATTTTATGTCAGTTAACCATCAGATTATATGGTCCTATGG